AAGAAGGCGGGCTACGTCCCAAAGTACATGAAGCTGATGGATGCCATCCTGGGCACTCACAATGAGTCGGGGCAGGTGAAGGAGGGCGAGCAGATGGATGTGTGTCAAAAGCGGGTTGGCCGAGGAATTCAAAGGTTTTGAACGATTCTTGGATCATGTTGGATTGAGTGGCACTTCTTGACGCACTTGATCTGAGCCTGACTGTGCAACTGGTAGTGCAGACATGTGCAAACAAGAAAGACACAGGCAGAAAAGAAACCACGCACCGTCACTGGTTTGCTTTGAATGGGTCGCTGTGGCGCTCGTCCTCACTTAAAGGTGGATGAACCACATGAAGCAACAAGAGGATCACTCGGCACGTGGCATGCGGCAAGTGATTGAGACATTTGTTTGGCGGGTCAACGTGTAGCGCCGCGTAGCTGTTTGGCACAAGATTGAGAAGTTCATGGGTCAAACATAAACAGAGTCAACACAAATCAAAGGGCTCGGGGACGACATTTCTCAGGATGCAAGAATGTCAGCTTGAGAATATCGGTGACCGACGTAGACCCGACGTCCCAAGGGGAGAAGTTCAAACCAAGACTTGTTCCGGAAGGCAGGGGAAGACGTGTTTTCGCTGCGCTGCGTGGCCGCAGACCCTTAGATGCTCTGGCCGCCTTGGTCATGTCGAAAAGGATCAATGCCAAGGCCAGCCGACTCTGAGAGGCTGTGATGACCCGAATGCCTTGGACCCGCGTGAAAACGCGGTGTCCCGGATACCACAGTTCCGCGAAGGGACCGTTGTTCGCACATCTCCCGGTCCCGGTCCGGTCCTGATTTGACGGTTTCAGATCTCTGGCAGAAAAACCTGAGAACGATGGCTTTGGTTTATGTGCTGTGTGGAGACCATTGGAAACCCAGATACATATTGCATTGTGTGGGGCCCCTTCTGCCATCCAATATGCAAGAATCACCGTGGGTCCTACATGTTGGAGGGAAGTGGTGAGTGGTAAGACGGACTCTGCTCGAAAAAGTAATCGGACTTGGGGCCAACCCCCCGGTCCCCCCGTCTCCCCTGGGGTCCCCGCGTCCTTCCCAGTCGCGCAGGTCATCGTCGCGGGCCCTGCCGCCACCGGGAAGACCTGCCTGATCGAACGCTTCGCGCCTCGGACCAGTCGGGCGCCGTTCGGCGGTGCCGAAGCGGGACCGGGTGGGTCGGGTGGACCCTGATTGAAAGGCACCTCTTTTCAGGAGGTTCGGGACCTCTGAGAAGCCAAAGTGAGAATCCTGGCGGTCTGAGAAAGCCGGTAGTTGGGGTCCGCTCCAAATCCTGGAGATGGGACCTGAGAGTTGGGGCAACTGTCCAAGTGCATCACCCAAGTGCATCCATTGAGCTCCCCAGCAACAACCAGAAGGACGGCTATACCCTGACCTTCCAAGACCAAAAAAGAAATGATTGACCTGGTTCTGTAGTGCAAAATCCTCAGTCAAACCATGGTTGTTTGGTAAAGATCATTATATAAAGACATTGGGACATTGGTTGGCCACGAATCCCAGGGTAAATTAAACAAGGCTTCGTGGTCCGTCCCAGTCGACAAATGCCAAAAACAAGGGCTACCAGCAGCTTGAAGCACTGGGCTCCCCTCCCCCCCACCCCCCAAATCGATGCGCCCATCCCATCCGCCGATCTCGGAGTGATCTCGCGCGAGGTCAACAACGTCTTCGCCGCGGACGATGCCACGCACGGGCCCACCTTGGGCTGTGACTGCCTTCAGAAGGCGGTCTTCGTCGAGAACACGGAGGCGCTGGCGCCCAAAAACCGCGGGGTGCCGGGGTTCGTACGTGCGACCCAGCGAGCCCCGGGGGACGGAAGGGACGTGGAAGTGGGCGAGAAAAAAGGTGTCGGGTGCGGAAGTGGACCAGTGGTTGCAAGTCCCATTTGATGCCCATCCCAACCTGCGCAGCACTGGTCTAGCTTTGACAACATGACTGGAAACTGACAGTGGAACGCGGTGGTCAAGGCAATGATTTGGCCTCTCCCGACCAAGAACTAATCCAGCAGCTCCAAACGGCTCCGTGTCTTTTTTCCACGGTCTCCCACATGGAAAAGTCTTCACACTTCACACTGTCCATTCCATCCCTCCATCACGTCCGGTTTCGTTCCGGGGCCTTGAACAACGGCTTCCTGTTCTCAACCCTGGCCGTTCTGGCCCGGGATCACGCGCGGCACGCGCAGGTGTGGCCGGTAGGGCCGGTCGGTCGACCGGTGGGCGGGTGGTTCGTGGCAGTTGATCCCTTCTCCTCGGGGGACGGTCGAATCCCTCGGCAGGTGCACCTCTTCCTCTACGACACCGCGGGACAGGAGCGCTTCGCCGATATGGCGGCCAGCTACTACCGCGTGGGTGAGGCGCCGGACTGGGTCCCAAAGAGGAGAGGGTGCAGAGGGAGAGATCCAAGTGCCAGGGGTATGGGTGGGAAGTGAAGAATGAAGAGATTCCAGCAAGGTGGCAGACTGGTGTTGGGTTGGGAAAGCTGTACTGGTCTTGTGGGTACTGTTGACGGAGGACACCAAACCATGAGAGGCATGGGGTATTTGAGGTGTTGAGACATGTTTTCGTTCGCGGTCGCGGTCTGCGGCTTTCCGTCGGCGCGGTTCGGCTTGGTGTCATTCCGTTCGAAGTGACATGGCGCGTGCCTTCCGTGGGACTCCCACAGGCTTCGACCTGGCGATCTGCTTGGAACCCCCAAAAAGGAGACCCTGCACCCGCATTTCCCGGCCGTGGCCGGAGCGAGCCGAACTCGGCCGAGGTGTGCTTGCTCTGCTTCGACATGTCTGACGTGTCCACCTTCGACCGAACCCAGTTCTGGAAGAAGAAAGTGTCTGCAGCTGGGCGTTTCAGTGGGCTCGTCCGAAAGAACGCGGCGTCCATTGACCGTGACCGCGGCCGCGTGACCGGACCGTCTCTATCTAAAGATGACCAGCTTGATTGGTAAAAGGGTGTCTCAGAGATCAATGGAGAGTAGTCTTCCTCCTGAGATTCCCATTGATCCAAGTGAAGACCTACCAAGTGTGTCGGTGCTGACCTTCGAAAACAGATAAGACAGCTCCCCGAGCGGTAGTACTTAGAGGATCTGATTGGAAAAGAAATGAGCACAACAGGAAAAAGGTACCACATGATATTATATTCTAGTATATTACGACAATAATGAAACAATATATATATATATGGTTATAAGCTTTTATGAACTCTATATATTCCCTATTAATATAATTGTTATTATGGGTAGTGTGTGTATATATATATATCCTTTTATTTTTGTAATTCTCCACTCAGTGGCGATCTAAGGATCACAACCCCAAGTGCTTGTTCATCCTGGTGGGCACCAAAGAGGATCTGCTCTCAGAGGAGACGCTGCGGTTCTCGCGGTGCTCTGGAGGCGATAGTCAAACAGGGAATCCCAGACATTGACTCATTGTAGACCATTGATGACCCCCCTAATCATCCAATCACCGTACCTCAGAAGGTACGACTGGACCCGACGTTTTGGCACCTACATAACAGTGTCTCCAATCACCGTACCTGAGAAGGTACGACTGGATCCCTACTGTTGATGGACGAAACCCTGTGCCACCTCACCACTTTACCTTGGAACTCCAGAATTCTTCTACATCTCCAGGCTTGGGAGTGGTTTTTCCTGCGCAGCAGTCGACACTCGACATGCACCGACCACGTGTTTCGGTCGGTCCCGCGGTCCGCTCGATGGACTGCAGACTCCCAGGACTCAGTTGAACAAAATTCAGTTCTGGGCCCCCAAAGAGGAGACGGATGGACAAATCCACTTGGCCCCGCCCAACTTGGGGTAACGCCACTGCATGGTCGACCCTCTCAAGCCACTGCAAGCCCTTAGAGCTGAAACCACCTGTATACCTTCTTTCTCACGTGCAAAGACCACGGCGTTCCAGAACGCCCGGGCGTCTGAAAGCGGAGCGGAGCGGTGCGGTGCGGTGCGCGGAGGAGCAGAAGAGCTCGTTGGATCCCATCTCCCGCTGGGCCGAAGAGGCGACCCGACCGGGACGGCGGGGTCGGTGCGGGGTCGGTGGGTTTGTTCTGTTTGTGACGCAGTGATAAACTCCAAAGCTTCTGGTGCAGGTGTTCGGGGAAGGAGGGATTTTGGTTGATTCTTTTAATTGATCTATTATATTTATTTATCTATGTTTGCTTGTCAGGCAGTGCGAGATGATGGTAAAAGATGATCTCAGCATGCAGTCTAGATTGCATAGGAGCTTGCTTATCAGCACTTCGCAGTGCGAGATGACATGTTTTTGGCCGATCAGGATGGCAGCCGTTGCATGCTCTGCATGCCGATTGGTTGAGATTGATAGGTGGAAAGCATGCGACCTGCTCTAAAAGCAGAGGCCTTGCGATCGAAGGCATGTTCACTCGGTCTCTAGATCAATCACGGGTCATAGAAAGCAGTCATGGAAGAGGATCGAAGTTTTTTTTTGCAGTTTGTCTAGGGTAGAACTCTCCCAACAAGACCTGAAAACTAAAGAATATCCTCCAGATTCCAGATGAAGCCCATGATGAAATGACATCATAATGAGGTGTACTGTGAGCCATGTTGTGTATCTCATGTCACCACCCATTCTTGGCCAGGAAGGGATACCCTACTTCCCCACCAGCGCGCTGAAGGGTGGCGAGCACATTAGGCTGTTGCAGCGAGACGCGACGAAGCGAAGCTGCTGAGTTGGAAGAATTGGATGAGGTAAAGGTAGTTATATCAGGACCCTCCAAGGTTCTGCTGTTTTGGAACCCGACCTTCCCGGCGGTGAACCCGCACACCTTTGTTGCCTTTGAACAACAACGCCGGACACAGCGATGGCACGGAGGATCCAGGTATGGATTGTCCGAAACGTGTAGGTTTAACAGGGCGGTGGGGCCCAAGACTAGCAAACGAACTGGTGTAAAACATTCAACATTTGTATGTCGTGGGCGGATGGCAACAGTAGATGCTGCGCATACTGCCGCATACTGTGCAAAGGTACCATCTTCAGGCTGCATAGGTTGCATTTGTGACATCCACGGAATTGCAGGAATGTAGATGAAATTTGAAATCAACAGTTGCATTTTTTTCTCAGAGCGCATTTTTTTTCTTTTCTTTCCTATCCCACTCTGTGACAATCTGGTTTGCCCAATCCGACATTCCTGGCGTGAGTTGTGGAGGTTCCTCTTCCACGTTGTGGCGGAGAAGTGTATCAGGCTCCACCTGTCCACGCAGCCGTGGAGACGAACTCCGCTCGGCACGAGCGGCCCACGAAACAAAACACCAGACGATCCACCTGGCCTGGACAGTCCATGCGGCCTGGACAGTCTCTACCCCCAGCCCCATCGCTGGGAGACGAGTCGGCTTGTCAAAGGCAACACCTCAAGGCGCTCCGGCTTTCCAGATGGGTGACACCCGTAGGTTTCAAACCGTCCATTGGTCCAGCTTTCTTCGTCTTTGGTGAAAAAAACCCAGCTTTTGGGTGAAGGGTTTGGTGTTGGCACAGATGGCACAGTGTCGGGGCTGGAATCTGAACCAGCCCCACGCACGAAGCACTTCCCAAAGCGTCGCCGAACTTCCGCACGCTTCTCATCACGTCCATGCAACGCGAAGAACAAGCACTTCCCCCTTTCAGAATCCCCCAGAATTCCACCCAAAAACTCTTCATCTCACCCACAGCCCCCCACCATCCCCCAAACTTTTCGACTGCACCTGTGTGCTCCGAACGCCTACTGAAGCCACGCAGCTCGCTCGATGCCTGACGCCGACGCGTACGATGCTTCTCGCCTCAGGCTGAAGCGGGAGAAGCAGCTCTCAGACTCGGCGGGGCTCAAGCTTCAGAGCTCCATTGGCCAGCCCAAGGCTCTGGGTCCGAGCGTGACGCCACCGGTGACGGCGGAGCTTTGTCGTGGCGGCGGAGGAGAGCGAAAGGTGTTGGACCGGTTGAGCGAAAAGACGACCAGCGAAGCTGTTTGGCCGGAAGTTGGGCACAAGTGAGTTGAGAGGGAAAGGAAAAGGGAAAGCACTCTTCAGAGTGCTTTCTTCAGGTACTTTGCAGCACACAGTCCACCATGGTTCGCTCCTAAGCTCCCCTTACCAGGAGCAAGGACGCTAGTAGGAACAAAGGGCATCGCTACTCGGATCGACGCTAAGAGTCGCCTCGCAAGGCTGGCTGCTGCCCGTGAGCCTCGTGAGCCCCGGACCTCTTCCTGGCCTTGCGCGGGCTGACTGGGGCGAAATCCGTGTGCGGCTTGAGGTCCTGTTTTGGTCTGTGCGGCTTGAGGATGAAGAGATTTTGTTGAAACCAGTCCTCCTATTTCAGCACGTTCATTTTTCAGTTGAAATGCGGCTGATGCATGAAACATCAGCAGCATCACGCGCATTGCGAACACTACTAACACCTTCATGCACAGCACTTCTATCAGTCTGACATTTACCAGACGAACTTCATCAGTGAAGGAAGATTGGAGTGCTGTCCACAGTCAATGAAAACATCTTGCAAGTACGAATCCCGGAATCAAAAGTCTCATTTCGCTATATGTAGAGGTGCTCAATTTAGGCCTCCGTTTTTTTTTGAAAACTCCCCCTCTTGGGACCCCAGAACTGTGCGCGGCGGACGCGCAATGGCGCGTGTTTCACCCGGTGACGCTGATGGGTGCGGAGTTGAGGAGTTGAGAGCCAGACAGACGAGGGAGGTTTTAAGCACCCCGCGCCTGCAATGAAAGGCTCCCTGGAAGAGGTCGGGTTCGACCTGCATTTTTCCACCAGAAATCGCCGCTTTCGCCGACGGATTTGCCTTCGGGGATCCATCTGAGCAGCTTCCGAACTTGCAGAGGGCCATCGACTCGATCATGTTGTTACGTTCGTAGTAAGAATGCTCCGTTGGTAGCGATGCCAGGAGCCCCGTTCGTAGCGTCCTTTGCTCCTAGTAGTAAGGCCAGGAGCCCCTAGTAGATTTGAGTACCCAGAAGATTGAGGTCAAAACTGGAATGCACCAGGCAGAATGCAGCCGCAAAGCATCATGCAGCGAATCCAGGAACGCCCTCTTGGCACCTTGCCGAAGGAAGCACCAAGGCCTTTCCAGGCCTTCATTTTGAGTCAGAACCACTAGAACCACTAGTTCACCTCATGTGGAATACCCATGGGTGCCGGGTTTCCTCCGGACCTGAGGTCTGCATCCATCGTGTCGGACTCACGTCCTCGTCGTTCGACGTGGGAGAAGGACAGGCAGAAGGCGCAAAAGAGGAGCAAAACCTGGACAGATGGTGCTGGGAGGTCTTGAAGCAGGATACCATGGTGCTGGGGTCTGGGGCCGGTGGGTGCCCTGCGCGGTTGGGAGATGCGTGGAACTCTGGAACCTTGAGATAACTTGGGATTCAGGGATGGATTCCTTTCTTCGACTGGTCTGGGGGTCGGAGATGCGAGGGTGGGGTTTGGACCTCCAAACGATGAGGGGAACGCATGACCGACCACGGTTGATTCGGCATGGGCACGGCGACTTTTTTCTCCCGCGCGTCGTTGGATCCTGGGTGCCCAATGAACTTCCAAGGCACATGAACTGGACATTCAGAATGTCGCGCCAGTGTTGGATGTGTTGCATGGTCGACTTGTGTTCCTTTCCGTCAAGTACCGGCATTTGGTGGCCTGAAGGGTGAAGTACCCAGAGGCTTTGATCCAGTTTTGCTTTTCCCAGGGCGTTTTGGATGGTACCCTGATCTTGAGCCACACCCAGGTTCCATGAAGCAGAACTCCTCAATGTTCAGAAGCTTTCTTTTAAATTTCCCACTAAGGCCTGACTGTTGAGGGAATGGGTCTCTACCGGATACTTTCTTTCACGCATGCGAACTGCTATCATACGCTATCCATCCATGCAAGGTCACACATTTTAGGACTTTCAGAGTTTTGTATATATATAATATAGACCCTCAAATAGATAGACAAGTAGATCCCACTAAAAATGTAGACACCGTGCCACCGATCTATTCGGGGATCGTTTGTCTTTGTGTGGTCTGTTTCGGGCGACTCAAAGGTCGGACGGCCGACTGGTCGGTCTCTGGGGGTCTCCCAGTGCAGATCCTACGCGGTCGTCGTCGCAGCGAGCGAGACGGTGCCACGCTGTCACTTGGCTCGTGCCGGTGGATGGGGAAGTTCAGGGTGCCATGGTGTGCCATGCGGGTCCACGCGGTGTATGCCAGGCGTCCACCGGACAGGAGTGCGAAACCGGGAGTGCCGAAACAAGGATTTGGGGTAGAAGAACCACATGGATTGGCAGCGCTCAGTGCGAAGTCACCTCTGTGGTTGGCAGCGGGGTCTGCGGAGACTCGTGCTGGACAGGTCTTCTGCTCGTGCTGGAACAAGTGAGACATGGGTGTGTAAAATAGGGAGACAGTGAGACAGGCGACGACCTCCTGGAAGGTTCGGGAAATAGACTAGTCTATCCATTAGGCCAGGGGGTATCCCCACACTCATTCCACATGCTTCAGGATACTCCTGGTGGACGTCCCGAGGCCGAAGAGCTCTCAAAACCTCTTGTGTGAAGCATGCAGAATCACTCGCTCACCAAGGCTTAAGGGACACACACACACACACACCGGCAAACTTCAGTTACTTTTTTGGGGGGATTGGATGATATAGATTGAACAATTCCAACTATTTGTTCTTCTGTTCTCACTTCTTTGGGGGATTCTACACAAGAGACTTCCAATCCGTTCTTCGGTGTTGGGGGGAAGACCTGGATTTCGTGGGATGACCTGGGATGAAGTGCTGTTTCTTTTTTTCCCCGGGCAATTTGCTGTTCATGGTTTCGTGGGTAGGCCATAGATATATTCTTGCCGACTGGCACCGAGAGTCTTGCGAGACTGGCACCGCAGGCGAACGATGAGGAGATGGCATGAAGGAGCTGGAAAATGAACGGGCCTGATATGATTTCTGTTTGCTCCGGACATTCCAGCTGTTCAATTCTTTTTCCAAGAACTTTCCGAAGCTTTTGGTAGGTCACTACAGGGGGTGCACGACCTGTATACACTCCGAACATATCACATGGACGTGGGAACCGCTCTGTTCGTAAAGGATCCGCACCGCGTACCGCGTACCGGCGTGCCGCCGCAGAGCGGCGCGCCTCGCGCCTCAGTCTCTGGATGTCTGCACGGAGGTTCCTCTTCGGATGGAACCTCCGTTCGGTCTTCGTCCTGGATCACCCCTGTCAAGCCAGGGTCTTCAAATGAAGACCCCTGTTATGTCAATGATCTTGTCTCGGACAAACAGTTTCCACTGTTGAAGATCAGACCCCACTCCACGGTTGATCCTCAGATCGATCGTTCGATGCTCAGCTGGTGCTCCGCTTCCCACCTGTGGCTTCCCGTGGGAAAACCGGTCAAGGGAAGATGGTAGACTGATGAATAAAACAGAATCAACCCTCCCAAGCCATAAGAACAGGAAAGCTATTCTGCAGACAGGCGGGGTTAGATCTTCTCTACATTCACATCATGGGTAGAAGATCTTCTCATCGAAGTGCCTCCAACTGGTGCTTATGACTGGTGCCTCTTTCTGGGTCTCTGACGGGGGTGCCCTGTTGTCCGAAGTATGCGAAGTATGAGCCAACTGGTATATAGAAGGGGCTAGTGCCCGCTAATACTGTCATTTTTTCTTTTTTGGCACACGAATCATCAAATAAAAGGACTTGATTTAAGGAACGATTGAAGGACATTTCAATTGGAAACCGGGTTCAATCAAACATGTGCTTTCAGATTGAACATTCATTTATAGAAATATTATCTCTATTAGAGAAACCATTGAAATCACAAAATGCATTGTTCATACTTATCATTAAACATCAGCAGTTTAGCGTATTTGCTTGAACTATTTTAACACGTTGTTAATTGAAAGCACATTGAAAGCCATATTCTACTTGATGTTGAAAGCTCTTCTGAAAAGGTTCCAGTTGGACACCATTTAAGCATCAACATATTTCATTGATTTCCAAGAGTTTGTCAAACCATGAATTGGTGACCACGTACAGAAGTAACATTTTACATGCTTATGTTTTGTGAACTTAAAGTTAACTTTGTTTGGAAGCAAATGAAACATCAACAACCCAATTGGTTTTAAACAGGGTTTGACAGGTGGCCACAACAACCCCCAAAAATAAATCAAAATACATCTTTTTTGACACATTTTGTTTGCACGAAACTGTAATTGAACACAAATTAATTAAAGTCCAATCCTTTCACTGATTCTGACGGATTTAGAAAGATTTGAGATTTTGATTGGAACCCAATTGCATGCACATCAACCGCTTTTAAACGGCTTTTTAGATGAATCTCATTCAGAGACACGTTACAGTAACAGTCAGTAACTCAATTGATTAAAAGCCATATAACCCAAAATGCCGTTTGACTGGACACACACATTGAAAATCAATACGTTCATTGATTTAAACCGATTTACAAATTTGAACATTTTCAATAACGTGTATTTGGAAACACATTAAATTAAACATCAATCAGATTATTGAAGTTCGAAAGGACTTCAAAGGGATTCAATTGGAACCAATGGCAAATAGATATTGCAGTTCATTTGTAGTGGATTTTGTCTTCTATATTTGAAGCATGAAAACAAGTGATTCAAATGCTTATTTAAGGGCTTACGCCCGACAGCCGGCCAGGGGCCCAAGCAAAGGGCTGGTTGCAGTCGTGGTAGTGTGCGTGTCGTTGTGGTGGTGGTAGTGGTAGTGGTAGTGGTTGTAGTTGTTGTAGTTGTTGTAGTTGTAGTTGTAGTTGTAGTAGTAGTAGTAGTTGTTGTTGTTGTTGTTGTTAGCCCAGCAGCCGCCCACGATGCAGACGAAGCACCCCGGTGCCGCACGCATTTCCAGCATTATTTGGGCATATTTTCGGCTTATGTTAGGCCATGTTAGCCCATCTGGAGCCCCAAGAGCGGAAAAGTGGAAGAAGCAGAAAACACTGTAAAACACACGATTCCTGTGGGGTCGAGCAGGGGTCGGTGGTGGAGGGGGGACTCCCCTCTCTCCTTCGGAGAGGAAGGACACGGCCAGGTGGGGCCCCTTGGGCCCCTGGCCGGATTTAAAGGCTTACGCCTAACAGCCGGGCGCCGGCACAGTGCAGCTATCGGGGGCGTACAGGGCCCTGGGTGGGGGCAAGGTGGGAAACTGCTCGGCGTTGGAGACGGGGGCCGGGGTCTGGGGCACAAGTTAAGCTATCTGGTGCGCATCTTGGCCCTATGTTGGCCATGTTGAGCCTATGTTGGCCTATGTTAGGCCTATGTTGGCCGAGGTTGGGCCTATGTTGGGCCTATGTTGGCCCCATGTTGGCCTATGTTGGCCCTATGTTGAGCCATCTTGGAGGCTATGTTGGGCATATGTTGGGGATATGTTGGCTATCT